ATGAAGTGTAGTCTCTCCATCCATAGCTTCAGCATTGACTTTTGCACCATGACCAAAAAGAGCACGAACTATATTTTCATGGCCTGATAAGATAATGAGAGAAACTCCAATGAGAAGGAACACTTTTAATGGGATATAAAATGGGGATGGGTGCATGTATACACATCTGGCATTCCAGCAGTATATCTTGGAAAATAGTATGAAATTCGGATTATAAATATAATATAAAATGTAAAAAAAACTCATGATTTGTCCGAATGTTAGGTAAATGCGTTTTATTATGTATTCACAGAGCTGACATAGGCACCTACGAGGTGCCGGCACTTACTACCTTGGGTGCGCACCTAGTACTATCCGAAAAATAAATTTTGAGTATTTTTGAGATTGATGTGATTTTTTAAAAAATGAATCTATGATATTTAGATGATAAAAAAAATCAAATTTCAAAACATCCAAAAATATTGAGAAAAAAGGTATTTTGAAATAGTACTAGGTGCGCACCAAAGTAAGTGCCGGCACCCCGTAGGTGCCTATGTCAGCTCTGTGTATTCATTTCCATTTATTTCTTGTACAATATCTTCGCAGACATTTTACAGACTACTTATGTTACTCCATTGTGAAATGACATGTGGTGGAACAAAGTTGAATTATTATCTCTTTCACTTATATATATTGGCTTTGCATTGATAGATTAATGCTGTAATCGAAGCGTTACTTGGCGCACAGCAGCTGGCTGAATGCCATTGTCAAGCACACATTCGTATGTTCCCTCATCTGAAGATTCAAACGCTTCGATTTGCAATGGACCACTAGACTTTTCTAATTCTTTACCATTTGGCAGTTTCCATTTACTTTGCACTGGTGGCAATGCATCCCCTGTACATTCAATGGTTTGCGATTCTCCATCCTCAACGTAAATCTCTGTAAGACGATGAATGTAAAACCATGACAACTGGAAATAAATTTGATTTTGTGAATATTTTACCCTCATTGGCCAATTCCTGCAGTATCGGTGCATATTGAACGATTAATTCCGTAGAGGCTGATTTTGTCACACTGTCCACGGTCACAGCACGTGTATAATTACCAGAATGTTCTTTCGCCAAGTTTGAAATGATTAAATTGTTTCCAGCAACCTAAATTCAAGTTTAAATAGTACATATTCAATATGTATGGGTGAATTAATTTTTGAATCAACATGAAATCAACCAGTTGATGCATCAATCGATAAATGGTAGCTAGACAAGAGATTTGTATTGCACAAATTTTTCGATCTCGAGTTCATCATTCGCCTTATTTTGACATCAAAATATGGTCTGGATCTTGAATTTCTTGTCCAGCCCGATTTTTATCGATTAAAGTATGCACCAAATAGCTTCACAAATTGATTCAAGTATCGATCCCCTATGATGTATTAAAACATAAAATTAAATTGAAAATTCACAATTCATCAATTTACCTTGTAAACATTGTCATCCATATCAATTTTAGTGTCATTTACTTGCCAATTTGTGGTCAGCGTTGATGTTGGCTCCACCGAAACAGAGCACGGAATTTCGATGTGTGGCACCTTCTCCACTCCAATATACTCGGTCTTTGGAATGGTCACCGTGAACACTTCTTCAATGTCAATCGGGACCCAAGCTAACACTTCAACAGTAACACTTTGATTTGAAGAACCATAAATATTTGTAGCAACACATGTATATTGACCACCGTTATCCAATTCGGCTGACTCAATTGTATATGATACATTCGCCAACGAATCTCTGAAATAAAATATTCACTCATTATACATATCATCAGCGGGGAGAAAAAGGTAGTCGATATTCGGACCGATATTTACTTTTGCAACTCTCTTAACAGCTCCTGTCCATGCAATATTTTGACTTCAAATGGTGCCACAGACTGTACGGTACATTTCAGAATCGACGATTCACCTTCGTTGATATTTCGATTGGTTGCACTTAAAAGTACTTGAGGTGGAGGTCCGTTTGATTTTCGTAATACTGTAGATATTGTCCTATTTATCTGGATTCCGTTTTCATTGTAGCCATTTACCTGAAAATTATTCATTCTCATTAGTTTTAAGCAGGTAAAATTTGTGAACGATGAATCGTTATATATTTGCGTTCCATACCGAAATTCGAAAAGATCCTTCCGGTGCCTCAAATGAGCCGGTTTTATATAAATATTCGGTCGCATTTGAAACTCTTTCTTCATTCAATGGCAAAACAACTGGTTTAGATTTTTGATCAGCAAACAGTAAGTGAACTTCGCTTAGATTGACCTTTTCAGTTGCAACAATTGTCAAGATATTTTGCGTTCCTACAAAAAATGATTCGATTAAAATCACATCTTGCACAGACTGAGCATTTACTCACCGTTCAGTGGATAGAAGTGTGTATCTAACATGGAACTTGGCGATTGAGCAGAGAATCCATATGAAAATGACAATTTACTCTCGCCAGTTATGCGAACTGAGTGTGCATAAAATGCCGTTACATCAATTTGCCATGTGCCATTCAGAGGACTTTCAATGGTGTAACCCTTAACATTTGGCAAGTTTACTGTTTCGGTTGCATCGTTAACCATCTTGCCATCGGGACGATAGATCCAAACTTTTGCATCTTCGCCAGAAATTGTAAGTTCAAGTTTATTTACGGTGTTGTCCACCGAAAAATCCCAACGGCTTGAATCCGCTTCAGATGCATAACACGATGTTAATAAAACGTGATGATTGTACAATTTTAAACTGAAATCACTCAAAATCTGTTCAATTTCTTCACTTCGAATATCATACAATTGACCATTACTGGTTTGTGTTATTCGTTCGAATACTTTATACTTTTGATTTTTGTTGTTGTCGCAATAGCCCGTTAAAACAATCGACACCTGAAATGAATGAATGCAATGACGTATGGCTTTACTCACTTTTTAATACTCTTTTACACAATTTAGCTGAAAGAAATCTGAAACAATTCAGCGTATATTTTATACTAACCGTGGCTTGTTTTCGCTGTATCAACTCTTCTACTTCATTAACCAACCAGGAATCTTTTGCTGATGCATCGGTAAATACGAGTACATAAGAGTTTGGAAGTGCATTTTTTAATCCTACGATTATTGCACTGAGTATATTCTCTGGGCAAGTAACCCCACCATAAACAGTAACATTTCCCAATGTAGAAAGTAGCTCATCCTTGTCATCGGTCACCAGTATAGGTGAAACTGAAATATTTTCATTCATCAAAAATGGCTCAATATGATGGCGTTATGACCGCCACCCGACAAAATCGGTTATAACTCACCTATTGTTTTATTCACCTCGGTAAATGGCACCAAAATATAATTATAAAATGGATTATTTTTCGGGCTGGAAAGTTTACTGAGAACCTCTTTCATGCCATGCTGAATTTTTTCCAGATCTGTTGACATCGATTTCGTTATGTCAAGTATAAGCACTAAACTTCGTTGACCTGGTCGTGACGGTTTGATTTCCATTGGCGATATAGCATTCACTTGGCGCTTTTGAAGTAAATGATTTGAATTCCCAATCAATTCGTTTGTATAGTTTCGTACAGCGTTGGTACCATTTTTAAAATAAGAAATTCTATCACTATCTCCGTTCAATGGTGGTAAATTGTTTACGTGTACTATTTTTGGTTCCATGTTAATAACATGAATATCTCGAATTATCAATGGACGTGATGATATCGTCACTGAACTTGCTATTGCACACAAACAAATCAGCAAACAGCTACATAAATGGCTTGGCATTTTGAAATTCTTCTGCAAAATTTTGTGGATACGTCAACACGGAAGTATGGTTTCAATGAAACTGATTCTAGTATTTGATGATATTTTGCTGATGCTGCCGCACCATGGTAAATATAAACTCAAGCGAATCCTTGTTGCCTTGTCTTTACGCAAAGTTCTCTTTCATATTATTATCTAAAGTCCATGGATTCCTTTTCTTTCATTTTCCATAGATAGCAACACAAAGTGCATGGACATTGGCCATTGTGCATTGAGCAAGCGCTTTCAATGTAATCTATCTTGTCATACAAGAAGATAATAAACTGTGGAAAATATATTCGATTTTTTTAGATGTGCCCAGCAGCAATCGCTTACCATTGTATTGCCATATATGCAGAAAATGTTTTAAAATGATTGTTTGTTTTGTTTATTTCGAAAACGAAATTGTTTGTTGTGATCATGAGTGCTATCAGTCAACAAACGGACATTACACATTAGATAAGGATACTAATGCAATGTTTTAAGAAACATTTGCTTTTACAAATCAATATAGTGATATTTCAAAGCATAATCGACGATTTTTCAATTGATTCTATGGAAATGGTTTCTTTGGTTCATTTTCTTTGTCATTAACTTCGCATAATCTTTTGCCATTTGGCAGAGAAGATAGGATCAATGGTTTGTCAAACGAATATCACAGTCTGTGATTCACATTTAAAACCAAACTTGAGTATACTATACATACAAGTATTGATAGTAACATAGTTAATATAAGTCCTTTCAGCGCATTTGTGCCAATCAGTACTTTGTTAGTGCATGCAACGGCTTTGGCACACTTGTGATTACATTAATTTTGGTTACAATTTTTTTATGCACGCAAACACAGTCGTGAATCGCAACTTGAGGTATGGACTTGATCTCTTCTAGATAATGAATCTTGTGCGAATTTTTTTCATAAATGTCCTGTTCCTGATTATTGGCGAAAACACTGAATGGGTGAGTTACCTGTTCGGCGACTCTCAACAACTTCAACAATTTATATTGATTATTAATTCCTTGCAATTGCGATGCGCATTGAACATTAATCCACTTGAACGAACGATTACAGATCAAACTGTGGTTGTAGAATAGCTATGAAATATTAAAAGAAGAAGAACAAATTACCAATGCGAAAACCGGTAAAATTCAAGAAGAAGACGAAAAATCTGGAAGCAAGTTCATATTGATACATAAATCCATAATTTTTCTCAACTCAAAACATTTATTCAATAATTTTTACTGATTATCTTAATTACACAATTTTATTTTTGGTTGAATAAACACATTACAGCTGTCTAGTTTTTATTGTTGTTGTCTGAAAATCGATTAGAAATATCAATAAACGACACAGTTCGTAACATGACTCTTTAATATACTTAAATTCATAAAACGTAAGGGTAAATTGATCAAAATAAACTTTGTCAAGGTGATTCATAAATTTACATTCAAATGGCTTGTTGCTGGACGTCTTTTAACTCAATTTTTGGTAGTTATTTTTGTACATAAAGAGAAAAAAATGAACACGAAGAAAACGAATTGGCGACAATCATAAGGAGACGTTGCATGTTCGATTGAGTTCGATTTCGAATCTAAAAATTATTGTGCCTATCTATTCTAAAAACCATCACAAATGTTCCCGTTGTTCAGGTCATCGGGCCGCTTTGTGCTTAGCTTCAACTTATTTTCTGTAGCTTGATCGAATCGGTTTGAAACGTAAAATTAAGCAATCAAAATATCTTAATTCGGAATGAATGCATCCGTAGAAATTGTGTAGCTGAGCTACCAATTAATGCTATTGATCGAGCGAATCAATTTTCCACTTACTTTAGAATATCTGAATATTCAATAAAAACTCTCTTTTGATATACAACTAACCAATGTTTACACGAATAGCACTGATTCTCTTCATGTTCGAACATAAAACGTCTCTTTATGATTTTCGAATAGGCGCGAAGCTGCGCGCTGCTGCATACAATTTTTTGCATCAAACAAGTGACCATTGGGTTATATCATATAGATTTTTTGTTGTGTATACAGTGTCAATGTACATTTATGTAAAATAATCAGATACTTTGACATTTATGGTATTATAATTTCATTTTCCATCTGTCGAAACGGTTGAGTATTTCTTTAGTCTACTAGTTCGTTCGATTGAATTTAGCATTGCGATGGAATACCCTGTGTCAGTGAATTTTCCAGCACAATGTGAAATTCATCTAACGGTTCGAGTATTTGTCGTAAAAAGGTCAATAGGCCTTTTCGTCGCATAAAACTTTGGTCTTCATACATTTCCTGAGTTACTTGAGTAGCTGCAATTGGCTGAAGCATGCGATGCAGCAAGTGTTCTCTGCAAAGAAATAAGGGAAATGAACAATTAGCCATATTTGAGGGCATTGATTGTTTGTATGATGAATGCTGCCAGATATTAATTAGAAGCCGTTTATCAAACATAAACAAATGAAAGTGATTTTGATTCAACAGAATGATGGTCTGAACATTTCCCTTTTCTATTAAATTCTATTCAACTTTCTTTTTCCTCATATTTTGACCTTTTTTTACTTTTCTTTTTATTTACCTTAAACTAAGACAAATGAACAGTTGAAATTTGCCATCCTTTCCCAGTGACTGTGTTACATTGTTGATTTCATCCATTAAATGGTTGTAACACCTCCAAATGGCTGTTAGTTCTTGACGAGCGGCTGGTGTGAGTTGTGCCGGCGAATGTGGAGATTCCGGACTTGAGTTGTCGGTTGACGGTGACATTGCATCTTCCACTAAATTAAGTTCGAATTGCTCTTTTACTTTAACTGAAATTGAAATTGAACGTGAATAAATGAGAGAGTTAAATAGCATAATGTGCTACTATTCGGTTATTTTTGGTCCAGAAAAACCAAGAAATATCCTGTTTGAAAAAATTATTCTTCCATTCATGATTTTAGTCCATCAAAATTTTTATTGCAAAGTTTAAAAATCTGGCAATGGTTCAAATTGTCAACTTACCAAGAAAATCCCAAATGAAAAAGTTCCGTCCGAATAGTCGCTGTGACTTGAATCCATACAAAAATGCATTCTCCATGCACTTCACTAAGCCATCTTCGCCGCACAATAAATTTGTTAATGAGCTGGTGTCACGTTCACGATTTGGACGATAGTGCCATTTGACGATTGCATTGACGCAATCGCCCAACATGTGTTGAATATCCGATGGCCGAATCTCCGGTCGGTGAACACTTGGGCTGACTGATCGCGGTGGTGTTCGACAAGCTTCCACAAGCTCTTCGCTATCGACTGTACGTGGAACAAATTGACCTACTAATAATCGCTCCGTTGAACCATCGTCCACACCACGACCCAACCAACGGCCACAAGGAAATCTGAATGAATGAATAAACAAATTCAATTTAGATTAACTTTTGGGATTGAGTGTTTGAATGATTTTAGAAAAGAACAACCCTATTTCAATTTTCGGTCGAACAAATTTTTACTACAATTTTGCCATTATATTAGCAATATTACGGTATCAACTTTTATTCAATGAAATTTCTTTGTTTGAGGTATTTGAGCCGTCCGAACGGTTTTGTTGTATTTATTGGCACCCTAGAAACGCATTTAGTTCATGACACCATCAAAATCGAGTGTATTTAAAAATTTCATTGACAAATTTTTTAATCGAGTTTCTCCTTTATACGAAGATTTTTGGTAATCATCTTTTATGCCGTGAAATTTTTTCCTTTTACTTTTCCGTACACAACGTGTCAAGGGAAAGTATAGGAATTGGTCCCGAAAACTTTTTTCGCAAAATTAGCTTAGATCATCATAAAAACTCATAAAACGCGTAGAAAACCACTTTTTGAGACACTTTTTCGTTCGTGTGCCGTCATCGTCGTCGTCGTTGTCGTCGTCGTTGTCGTCGTCGTAGCTGTTTTATAACACGATAACTCAAAAAATAATTGAGATAATCAAAATCTGGAAATGTCAAAAGTTTTGTATTCGAAAAACTTAGTTTAAGTTTGAAGATGAGCCATTTTCGATTTGATACTGGGGTACTTTCCCTGAAAAAACCTCAAAAAATTTACACTATTGTATGGGAGGTACCTGTAAATCGACTCCGATTGGCTTCAAACTTTCTGAGATTTCATTTTTTGGGAGAAAAGATTCTGAAAGTTTGAAACCAATCGGAATTGATTTACGGGTACCTCCCATACAAATTTTTTAAAATTTTGATAAAAATCAATTACAGCATTCTGTTGGAATCTTTGTTCATTTAACAGGAAAACCAAATTTCCGCACTTATTTTACAACAATTTATCTGTTAACAATCTATGATATCCAAAAGTTGACTATAGGATTGAAAAAAACGTGAAACACATAAGCGTTTTACCCTTCATCGAGAGTTGGGTTCTATAGTTTGTGGAAGAAATCAAAATAAAAAAAGTGACAAAAGTTGATGAATTGACGAAACAATTCTTAACATTTTTGACTACGACGGCTACGACGGAGATGAAGTCCATGGAGACAATGATTTTGTGAAATGGGGACAATTCAAACTATTTAAGGAAGAAAATCGCCGATAGTTCATTAAATTGAGGGACGATTTAAGTGTTGAGTTGGACAAACAATTCGTTGCATTTCGCAAAGAAATCCTTAATCTAATTCGCAAAGAAATCTGTGATCTAATCACAAAAAAATAAAACTTTTCGATTAGCTTGACACAAATCATGACAGGGGAAAGAATGCTATGTTTTTAGCCTTAGTCTGAATTCGGCATAGAATAAAGTCATCTTGTACATAATCGTAGCTAAGGGAAATGTTTGATGAAGTTGTAACATTCAATACTCGAATGTATGTATTGGTCTAAGATTTAAACTTGAAAGCAAAAAGAAATCGACCGCTCTCACAACACCAGCGATAAAAATCAATTACAGCATTCTGTCAGAATCTTTGTTCATTTAACAGGAAAGTCAAATTTCCGCACTTATTTTACAACAATTTATCTGTTAACAATCTATGATATCCAAAAGTTGACTATAGGATTGAAAAAGACGTGAAACACATAAGCATTTTACCCTTCATCGAGAGTTGGGTTCTATAGTTTGTGGAAGAAATCAAAATAAAAAAAGTGACAAAATTGATGAATTGACGAAACAATTCTTAACATTTTTGAACAAATTGTAGGTCAAATTGGGTTATAGTATATACACAAAGCAAAAATTAAAAGAAAAATAACTAAAATAAAATGGATACATTTTCATAGAAATGCGCATATCCAGAATGTGGAAAAGATTATAAAAGCCAAGCAGTTCTGAATAGCCACATGGGGTGCTGTCATTCAAAAAGGAAGCAAGGATCTGGTGTAAAAAGCAGATTCGTACGAGGAAGGCACTATGCAAAACCTGGTCGGCTTTTACAAATGAAAGAATCCAGTGTCAGTAAAACGGAAGAAGCAAATTATTGAGGAGCTCACATTTGAAGGCAATGTGCAAGTGCATTCCGATCCCGAATCAGAATTTGAAGTCGACGAAATTGTTCATTCGGAATGCTCATCAAGTCATTTCTCACAAGATGGAGAAAATGAACTTCTGGAAATTGAAAGAAAAAATGTCGAAGAAACGATAGAAGCGGAATCAAGTCGTTCAATTTCGCTGGATCCGCGATACGAAATAACAGAAAATGGCATTGAAAAGAGTCTCATGCAATCCCAACCAATTGGATCGGATTTTCCCTATTTGAATTCAAAGAAGATTGAAGAAATCAGGGAATATCTGCACATAGATTTATTCAAATAAATTAAAAATATCAAATAAATTTATCCGATACTGTTCATGCTTTGCGTTGTTGTAACGCATCTGCAGTACAAAGTTCATATTCTCTTCCGGATTTGCCAACTCAAAATTGGTGAAGTTCCGAACGAAATTCGGCAAAAATAATGCGATTTAGCATCCCAAAGGGATGCGTACTAGAGGACTTAACTTCCAGAATACATTGGACCAGGTCGGGTCCACCTGCTCCACAAGTTTCACTTCCAGCTCAGCCAATATTTTATAAACGCTATTTTTAAATATAAGC